CCAGGACCTGGTGGCTTAAAACTCACACCGGGTGCATGTGCGTGTGTGCCCAAGATCCTGAGAGGAGAATGGAGGAGAAGGGATTGCGGCGTGACCATCCCCCCTGGGGGGTGATTTCTCGCTTTCTGTCTCTCTGTCTCTCTCTGTCTGTCTGGCGAGCACACGCGTCCTATAGCGAAAATCTCTCAAAAAAAAAAAAAAAAGAAATGTGAACATTCTCCCCTTTCCAGATCTACTGAGTCATCAACCCTAGGCGAAGGGCCCAGAAATCTGGTTTCAGCATGCAACTGATACACAATGAAATTTGAGAACCCCAAATCTAAATAGCTCCATCATCCAATAAGGAAGGTGCTTGTTATCCCCACTTAACTAATGGAAATACCAAAGTCTTGGAGAGATGAACTTGTAGGCAGCTGGCAAGTAGCAGAGCCTACTCTGGAACTGGGGTTCAGTCAGCTCGAACATCTGTGAAGGCATCCTGCCGTTCCCCCTAAATACTCTTGATAGCCCACAGTCAATACCATTCTGCCAGACTGCCTCATGCAAAATGGCACCTGCTGCAGTTGTGCAGTGCAGAGCTTGCACAACTGTACGTAGGGCCCTGTTCCCACTCCTGACACATCAACACTGAAGCCCCATGAGTCAGTTGCCTGCCATGCTTCGCCTCATCCCCTTTGATCTGTCTGGAGCCTCACTTGTTCTTGTAGTCCTCCACGACATCTTGCATGTTCCTGGCCTCAGTGTCTTGGCGCATCCGCTCTCCATTGAGAAAATCCACCTGCTTCTGTAGCAAGTTGATGAAGTTCTCCAGGATGGGCTCTAGGTTGCTGGTCTGAGTCGAGGTGTTCACCTGCTGCAGCAGGTCCCATTTCGTTTGCAACACCTGGTTCTGCTGCTCCAAGAATCGTACCTAAGAGCAAGAGGAGCCGGTTCAGCCTGGGTCAGAGAAGCTCCCCCATGCATAGGAGATTCACAGCCCTATGGCATATCCAGACTCAGAGAATCAGTATGGCCCTTCTAGGGGTCAGAGAGCCTCTCTTTGAGACCAGGACACACAAAAGGTAATGTGATTCTGATGACTGACCAATGACTGGAAGGTCAGCTAGTCTAAAATCAACACTAAACTCACTCTGTTTTGTTTGGGTTTTGGGTTTTTTTTAAGTTTATTTACTTTTTCCATGATGAGAGAGAGAGAGAGAGCACAGCCCAACAGGGTCTCCATGCTATGATTTACACCCACTTCCAGGCAGCCCTAATCATAGGCAAACCCATGCCCAGCACACTCGGAGAGGTCTCCAGACATGACATGACAACCTTCCATGTGAGGTGGCCTTGCAGAGCATCACATTTTACAACTGTGCCACTGTCCAGCCCCCAGCTCACTCTGGTTTTGAATGAAAATCACCTCCAAGTGAGTGTGTTGTTTCATGTAGCTACACACATTTACCTCACAGAGCTCACCCTCCACGCCCATGCCAACCAACATAAGGAAGTGGTGATTCGGAGCATCTGAACACTAACAAATCTAAGGCTCCTTACTCTGTGGTTAAAAGTGTTATGTGTTTGAGGAAAAGACGAAACAGGAGGAGAGAGAGATTAAGCTGGCTTGGAATACTAGACTGATGTGGGATAAACTTGCCTGGGTGCCTCCCCACTGCAGCCGCCACCGTCTCTGCTGCCTACTAGTGTATTTATCAGGAAAGTAATCTTATCTAAATGTTTTTGTAACCCAGACAGAATTTTAAGTAAATGTGCCCATTTTTTTTTTTTTTTAGTTATGTAATACACTCAATTGCCCAAAAATAAGGACCTTAGGCTTTTGAGTGTTTGGAAAGCACCCATGTTGCTATTTCTTTCATTAGCAGTGTGGTACAAAGGTTGAGTGCAGGGGCTGGAGAGGGGACCGGCTGTGCAGACCAGGTGCATGCGCTGTCCTTCACACCTAAACATCTACTCTCTTACCTCAGCCAGTGGCGCATAGCTGGAGCCTCCCCTCCCACGCTCTGGGTAGAGACAATGGTGTCTGTATGCCTTGCGCAGGCACACGTGCCTAGAACCCCTCAGCCCTTGAGACACACAGACACACACACACACACCCCTCCAGAATCTGGCTCCCTCCTCTGGGAGCTGTGTAGAGCAAGAAGCTCACTGCTTTGTGCACTCGGCACAGAACCCTGAGACACTCCCCTGTGATGTGGCACTGAGGGGGCCGCCTGGAAAGCCCCAGACCTTCTCACTCTGCCCAGCTGAGTGTGCACTCCCTCTGGGATCTTACTCTAGGCTGGAAAATGAGTGCAGAGAGCACTATTTGCTGTGTTTGGTTTCGTTTGTTTCTTTGCTGGCTTTATCAAAGCAAGAGATTGAGTAATCAGTTCTCGCAAGCTTATTGGCATAGCTTGTGACAGCCCGTGAGAAATTCCCACTCTATGATGGCACTCCCAGGGAGTGGAGAAATCAGTTTGACACTCAGCACAGCCCTGTTTTTGGTGGCAGTGGCTTACTGGGACCAAAAGAAAAACCTTGTGGTCTCCATGTACAAGGAGAGAGCAGTCAGGCACACCTGGGTGCTCTGGCTCCATCCTGAGTACCCACAGTATCGCAGGGGCTCAGTAAAAGACACTGTGGCTCTCATCAGGCCACCCAGACAGCAAAGGCACAGGTTGGCGTCAGGGAGTCCTAGGCGATTCTCATGTGATTTAATCTCATGTGAGTAATCGTCAAGCACTATTGTGTTTCCCCCAAGATTCCCCAAAACACTCCTGGGATGTGTCCCACCCGCAAAACTCAGGGGATGCTCAGATAACACAGAGAAAGTTCCACAGCACACTGAGCTCACCTTCTCGCTGCCTCTCATGCCCCTCTTCCTCCTGCTCATGACACTCTGGCCACGGTCACCTTTTGGTGCCCTCAATATCCCGGACCTCTCCAAGCTTGCCTGGTGAACTCCCATTCACCTTCTAGGTCTCAACTAAGGTGGCGTCGCACCGGCACCTCCCTTTTGCAGCCCCCAGTTCTGTGCCTTTATGGTGTCTGTTGAGACTTGCCCTCACCTGATGGCGGTTGAGCATGTCTTTCTCCTGGGCTGGGTCATGAGCCCCATCAGGTCAGGCCCATGCTTTTGCTCTCCAATGCACCCAGTGGATACACAATGCCCCACACAGAGAAGACGAGAGGGTTGTAGATCCATGAAAAGCAAAGGGCTTAGAATCACCTACTGGCGTGGGCTGGGTGGCCACCCTCTACCCCTGGCATAGAGGACTGAAAATCAGCTGAGTGAGGCCAGGCCAGTGGCCCAATGGGAAGAGCTGGAGCCCTCCTCTCCTACCTGGACTGCCATTTCTTTGTCATTGGTTCTAAAAGCCAGAATCTGGAGAGGTGTATGTATGTGTGTGTGTCTGTGTGTCTCAAGGGCTGAGGGATTCTAGGGTCCAAGCCTGACACTTGTAAGGCTGGCCCAATTTTTTATTTAGCCCATATTTTTTGAGAAATTATCCTGTGCCAGGCACTACCTTGGATGCTGAGGAGTAAGTAACAAACGAAACAGACTGACTCTTGCTTTCTAGGAGCGTCTATTCTATTCCAGAAGACAGCTGTAAAGAAATGCACATGTGAAATACACGCTGTGTCCTTCGCTGTAGGGACTCCGGGGAAGGGACTGCAGGAGGAGTGGGCAGGA